CAATATCGAGCTTTTTAAAACGTTTACCTAACCGACGTATTTCATCGGCATCAACTATAAAAATTAACGAATAAAAATAAACAAAAACAAAAACATAAAATTTTACATGTAGCACAAAGCTCAACGGGTATTGATGTCATATTCCCCTGAGAAAAGAAATAGTTATTAAAAATATAAATAAATTTTCTTCATACCATGATGATATTTTAATTATAGTCTAATATCAGTTAATTGTTGTAAATAAATGAACTACGTTTTCCAAAAATGGATAACTTATAAATACTCTACCATTTTATTTGTTATTATCAACAGCCTCGATTATGATCAAACTCAACCAAAAGATGTCGCTTTTTCGAATCATCCGGAATATTGTTTAGTGAATCAAAAAAATTCTTTTTATTTAATTTGGAAATTTCTATGTTTTTCTTCTATATGATGCAATATCTCTGAATAATCATTTTACTCAAATAAGAATATATAAAAACCTTTTTGTTTTGTTATTATTATTGATTCATTCAGTCTCTCATACATTTATATGTCGTTCTTTTCCTTTATGTTTGTCTCATTTTATTCATTTTGTAACTTTATTAGGTTATGCATATTGTAGGTCACACATTAGTCATACGCTGAATGCACTTTCATAGTCCATAGTACATTTTGTCTATGCATATTCATATAATTGTATGGTTTTTATTGTAGATCGACTTTTTTGGTTTTGTACGTAAATACACCGAACAAAATAAAAATAAACTATCATGACTGACATTAATGATCAATGTTCAGACACAAGTTCAGATTTAAATTGGCCACTTGATCATGCATTAGAACGACAACAAGATGATCGAGTTGTTTTTGAAAATGTTGCTGATCAATATGTAAAAGGTGCTGATGTTACAGCTTTTTTTACTATTATACATGATATCAAGGTCAACCCAGACGAAGATCAAATTGGTTTATTACGAGTAAGAATTTTCTTTACTTTTTTTTTTTTGTCTTATTCGAAATACTTTTCTTTTCTAGGTTGGTTGTACAAATATTAAAGAATGTGTAGCATATGCTCCTGTACAATTTAATCCATCAACAACATCAGGTTCAGCTCGTCATGGTACAGCAACATTTTCATCATCATCATTACCTGTAACTGATGATGAATTTTATCAATTTTGTTATATTATAAATAAAACAAAAAATCTTGGTTCATCAATACCATTTCAATTAAATTGTGCATCCGATGATATTGATTTATTATCAAATGAACCAATAAGAAAAACAAAACCTGATGGTCTTATTGCATTAGCTGATGATGATAATGGTGATCTTCTTGTTATACATACAAGACGAATGTTAACAGAAGAAAAATTACGTCAAGAAAATCGACAATTATTAGATTTCAATCGTCGATCAGAATTACAAAAAGATGAATATAAAGCTAAATTAGATTTATTAGAAATTAAATCAAAAGAACATAATCATAAAATTTATAATGAAATGCAAGTAGGTCAAAAATAAGATTTCCTTAGAAAGAATAAAAAAAAAAGAGAATTACGAAATTTGAGTATTACAAAATTTCGATGTAAAAAAAAAACAAAAGCATTTTTTTTTATCTTCAAAGTTTAGTCAGAACAAGAAAAATATGATTAATATTATCATTCATTTTAAAATATGTCAACAAAAGAATTATTCATAATATTAAATAGATAAATTTATCTCTTTCTGATTAACGAGGAAAACTCACCACGGATAAGTTAATTTTGATGTAAATACACTAATTAAAGATCTAATTGTTTTGAGAAATTAATTGAGAGAGGATCTTATATTGTGGGAAAAAGTTTACTATGTGTCTATGCTACCAAAAATAATTGTTCATCTTCCCGGGAGTTTTAAATCGCCTCTCCGGAAAGGAAAATCTAGATAAAAAACTGACGGTGGATCTTTAATGAATACCGTGGTGAACATCAAGAAAACTAATTTTTGAGTTTCGACTTAAAACTTTGTATAGAAGCAGTCTTTTGACAAGAACAGTTTCAGATCTTGTTGCTGTTCCTATGTTGATAAAAGCATGTCTTTTACACATCACTTATGTAAATCAACAGATTTGATATTCGTATTTCAGTATAGAAGCAAATCAAAAGAACTGAAAACTTTCATAATACAGTATTCGTACTAACATCTACCTCTTTGCAAAATTTCAAATCGAAATTCAAAAATCAATTTTCCTGAGAGAGACTACGGCAGTAAATTTGTAGTATCTGCACACAGTAATAAGCTAAGACTCCAAACTCTTTTCATGATATTCAAAACTCATATGGACCTACATCATATACATCATTCCTCGACTCAAAAATGATTAATCAATAGGAGAACTTTCCTCATAAGACTATGAGATAAAAAAAGGAACACTATGCCATTAGTTATACAAATAAATAAAACTTTGAATATTTTCTTAGACATTGATTGCATCACATAAAACAGCCATTGATGAATTATCATCACGACAACAATTAGAATCAAAATTACGTACTGAATATGATGCATGTCGTTCATTATGTAATCAATATCAAGCTGAATCTTTACAATATGCTGAACGTTGTCGTACACTTGAAGATTCTCATGGTAAAACTCTAAATGAAACAAATCAAATTCGTTCACAATTAGCTATAACATCACAATTAACAAAAGATCAAGCAACACAAATTATTGATTTAGAACGTCGTTTAATGCAATCAAATGAATTAACAAAAACATCAAATCAACGTCAAACATTACTTGAACAACAAATACGTGATTTTCGTTTAACAGCAGAAAAAAATCAAGTATTAATTCAAACACATATTGATACATATTCAAAACAATCGACTCAAAAAGATGATGAAATCAATGCATTAAAGATAACTAATAATTTATTACAAGAAGAAATAAATTCTTTAAAAATTAACAATGAATCTTTATCATTAGTATCTAAACAAGATAATGAATTAACACAAACATTACAAAATGAATTAGATCAATTATATGAACAACGTCGTATAGAGAATGAATTAGTAAGAAAAGAATAAATTCCTTTTTTTTTATATACGTATTTATTTTTTAGACACAAAATGAAATTGAATCATTAAAAAGTCGATTAAATGAAATGAGTTCATGCCAACAAGCTTATATGACATTAAAAACTTCATTTACCGAAATTGAAAAACGTTGTGTTAAACATCAAAAAAGTGAAATTGAAGTTAAACGACAATTAACTGTTTACAAAGATTTCATTGTAAGTTGAGCTCTTTTCTACTGCCAAAAGTTTACATATTTTGTTCTCTGTAGATATCCTTTTTCTTAAAAAAAAATTTTTTTTGAGCTCAATAGAGATATGCAGGATTATCCTACTTCCCATCTCTAGAACTTAATATATTGTTTCTCATTTATTGATATAGCTCGAGATCGAACCGATACCGGTGTGTGTCTGTTTGTTTTTTTGCTCTTATTATCTCATCGAGAATGTATAATGAAACTTTGTTGAAAGTTGCCTATGTCAAATATTACTCTATCCATAGATGGAATAATACGACAACTCATTAGTTTCGTACCAGTATGAACTTCAGATCGGTTCCATCTTTAGATATAGATAATTTTTTAAAAAGTGTTTTCATCATTATTCATGAAGACTTACTGTTTTTTCATTTTTTTTAGAATGATTTACAACACGAAATTCAAGGTTTAACTGAACGATTATCAGCTGGTGCTGAAGAATATAAAACATTGTACCGAAAATATACTGCACTTGAACATAAAATGGAAATGAATTATTCACAAGAAAAATCAACAACAAAAAATTTAATAGATGAATCTGTTCATAATGAAGAAATAATAGAATCAATTCTTCGTGATGGATATGAACCTCAACAAGCGAAAAAAGAAGATCAAAATGATCAAGAAAATGAAAATACATCATTACAAAGAACATTTGATGATGCTGATGGTGAAATAAGTAAATGTCCAATGTGTTTTTGGGAATTTCCACCACATATGACACTCGATGGAAAGAACGAACATATTGAACACCATTTTACATAAATTCAATGTAAATTATGAACTATGTATATGAAATATGCAGCCATTTCTTTATTAACACATTCTAGTTCTTTCGATGCTCATTTATCTTATTTTCTAGAAGTTTTTTGTTTTATTTATTTAAACATTAACATGTGCATGATAATTTCTTTTTCTTCTCTTGCACTTTTTTCGATTCTTTTTCTTTCTCTTCAATAAAGTTTCATGTTATTTGTAACTATCTATTTCAATTGTATGTATACGAGAATTTATTATAATGAAGGCAAGAAAAAACAAAAAATCAAAATGACATTAAAACTTAATCTTCTTTATTGAATAGATCAAGGTCAATGACATACTCTTTAAAAATTCAAATAATTAAGTATGAATGATTCTATTTAAAATTTTTTGTGAGAAAAAGAAAAGAAATATATGATAATGAGTGATCGAAAAGTTTTTCGACAAGATGTTTGTTCACTTTTGACATATTTCAGAGCAATCAACAGCTATGAGTTAGAACGAAAATTTCGTGCTCTTTTCGAATATGTACTTAGAAATTTCATCTCAATTTTTGTTTTGAGAGTAGTAAAATAATTTTTAAAAAATCGACAATTATTTTATCTTTAAAGGATCTCTTGAAAAAACACTTTGACTTCGATAATTTTTAGCATGTGCTAAAAGGAACTTATAGAATGAACAAAAATTTGTGGTCTCGCTATTAAAAATAATTTTTCAGATCTTTCAACAAGTTCCTTACTACTTGTGGACAAAAATAGACACCACATTTCTAAATCCGTATTCAAAATCTGGTCGCGATCTATAGTTTTTGGCTCGTCTGAAATACTTTCAAGCAGGACAAAATGTCAAAAGCAAATAAATATCTTGTCTAAAAAAATTTTGATCATCTGTTATTTTAAATAAAAATACCACAATGAAATCATTTAATGTGATTAATAAATCTATTCATCATAGGTTTTTTTCTTTAATGATTGAGTCATTATTTCTAAAGCATCATTTAATGTTTGTCCTCGTTTTCTTTCTTCAATTATTTCATTTCCTAATGGTGTTTTTTCAGCAATAAATTGATATGTTTCAGCAGCTCCTTGAAACATTTTTTCAGATAAACCGATATTTTCAAATGTTTTTGCAATTTGTTCCATTTCACCTGCCCATCTTGCTGCTTTTGGTGGCATATGTGGAATTGATTTATTTAACTTTTCAAATATATTAGGCATACTTTGTTTTAATTCATTAAAAAATACTTCTTCAAGTCCAAAGAATTTTGCTGTTATACATGCTTGAGTAGCAATTGCAGTTATTCCTTTACTTAACGAAGCATAGCACATTTTTAATGCACTTGCTTGACCGATTTCATTTCCAATGACAGATACATTTATTAAATCTGTAAATTGAAATAGATCAGCTATTTTTTGTGCATATTCACCAGATAAATACACTATTGGTATATGTTCATGAGAACCCGGTGGTGGACCAATAATACAACCATCAACAAAATTTCCATATGGAAAAAGTGTACTTATAGAACGGACTGTTTGTGGCGCTATTGCATTCATATCAACATAGATAATATGTTTATTTTTGTTTAGAAATGGTGCAAAACGTTGTGCAACTGAATTTGCTTGTGATGGAACAAGAATAGAAAAAATAAAATCAGCTTGTTGTATAATTTCTTCATCTGTTTTAACATCAATAATACCAGCTAAATTTGATAATTTTTGTGTACGTTCACTACGATCTGTTAAATTTGTAATTATACGAAATTTATTTTTAATTGAAGAAAGAAGAACTTGACCGATAGAATGTCCCTTTAAAGTAAAAATTAATAGAAAATCTAAACAATACATGAATACTATTCTTACCATATCACCAGGAGTCATTATAGCAATTGTTATTGGAGTTTTTTCAGCCATTTTTTGGGCTCGTATACTGTCGATAGAGAGTAGAATATTTGTTAAGCTTTTTATCGTTTATTTGCACAAGTACACCTTACTAAGTATCACGTGGAAAGATTCTTTTTTTTTCTATTCTTTCGACTATAGCTACTGATAGAATGATGTTGTTATTAAATCGATTGTGTTTGAAGTTTATTGTAAATAATCGTAAGCTATAACGCTTAGAGATTGATGATTTAGAAGATACTTAAAATGTAGAGAAATAGTTAAATTTGTTTGATTCGATATATAACTTTCATAATAGTATTGAATAGTTTTTAATATGATTTGTTTTATCACAAAACAAATAAATAAGAGACAGTGATAGATGTGAGAAATAAAAAATGAATACTAGGAAGCTTTTAGGATATTCTACGAAACATAAAAAGAGCCTTTTTATTCAGTACTGTACCTGAGCCTCGGTGTAGGTGTACGATTTCTCATAATCAATCGTAAATCTTGATGATTTTAATCTGATATATAATCAAACGACTAAATTATTTTCAGAATTGATTCTTTAAATTAATCATATTTCATATTCATGGAGAATCTATTTATAATATTCATGTTAGAAATGAAAAACAAAAAGTTTCAATATCATTACAATGAAATTCTACGCATTGAAGTTCAAAGAATGCTGAACAATTCTGACCTATTGTAATATTCTTTAATAATATCATAGATTTTTTTTTCATGTACCAATTCAAACATTTTGGAAAACACTGCGAAATAAAAAATTCGATAATAATTCTCTACGAATAAAATTTACAAATTTAAGAAGTGAAGATCATGTCAAAACATTTCTAATACCCTACAGTACTTCGTATTATATGATGAAATAGATTTATCAACGATTGTACATTACTTGAGAATTAAAAATTCTTCTTCGATAGCTTTCAATAGAGTTTATTGTTCTTTAAAGATAAACATGAAGAATTGTTCTGTATGAAAAAGTAGGTATTATACTTTAGCTTATAAGGTACGAAGAATGAAAAAAAAGCCATTGACGTTAGCTGAAGAAGCCGTTACAAACTTTTCGAGACTTTTTGACTAGCATAAGTAGAGAAATTTTAGTTACATTTTTTGATATATTTAGTCTTCATTCTTTTTCGAATAGAGAATAAAAAACACTCTTATGTTATAATATAAAAATAATTAAAATGAGCTTCTAATCCATTTGCTTGATATTCCACTTTCAGCATTTGTTATTGAATCGATTACATGAGATGATGTACTTAATTGTCTTTCTTCGTTTCGATTATATCTGGTGCGTAACATATATAAAATAAAGGCAACCAAAAGACATAATAGTAAACATCCAATTATAACTAAACTTAAAATAAGAGTTAGTTTGGATTCATTTTGTTTTGTAGATTTTATCGATTTTGAAGAACTATGAATTCTAGTAGTTATAGTAACTAAGAGAGTAATCGTTAATGATTGTTCAGTCTTACAGCATTCGACAATAGTTGTTGTTGTTGTTGTTGTTGTTGTTGTTTTAGTTGGAGATAATGTAATTTGTGTTTCTGTTTCAAGAATCGTAGACGAAGTAAGTATTCTAGTGTTTTCAGTAGTATTAGATAAAGTGTATGTGGTGATTGGTTGATAAGTAGTAGATGAAGTATGTATGAGATTTTCAGTAGTACTAGGTAAAATGTATGTGGTGGTTGGTTCAGTAGTAGTAATAATCGAAGTACTTATGAGATTTTCGGTAGTACTAGTTAATGTGTATGTAGTGGTTGGTTTATGAGTGGTAGTCGAAGTACGTATGGGTTCTTTAGTAGTGCTAGATAATTTGTATGTGGTGGTTGGTTTATTAGTAATAAATGAAGTAGGTATTCTAAGTTTTTTAGTAGTACTAGATAATTTGTACGTGGTGATTGGTTTATGAGTAGTAGACGAAGTACGTTTGAAATGTTTAGTAGTACTAGGTAAAATGTATGTAGTAGTTGGTTTATTAGTAGTAGTCGAAGTACGTATGAGATTTTTAGTACTACTAGATAATATGTATGTGGTGGTTGTTTTATCAGTGGTAGACGAAATACGTATTCTGGAATTTTCTGTAGTAGTAGTAGTAGTAGATAAAGTGAATGTGGTAGATGTAGTATGTCGTATAGCTGTTGTCAATTGAGTAGTTGTAATCAATGTTGTAGTAGGAATTTGGCATTCAATGTAGTTAGGTTGTTGTTTATTTTTACTATGATGAACGTAATTATAAATATTCCAGCCTTGTGTATCACCACAATGAATGTAGATTTGTAAAACACGAAATGTTGTATTTTGAATATTAGAATCAATATAAAGTTTTGTTCGATTACCACGATTTCTCATTACTAATCTTAAACCATTAAAATTTCGATTTGATATAGTTTCAAATGATTGAATTGTTTGTAAAGTTAATACATCAAGTGAATCATATGCAATATTTATAAACAATCCATTTGACAATGTTTTCTTTATTGATATATTTTTATCGAATAATTTATTGATTACATTCCAATATTGCTGAGAAAAATTAAGAAATGTTTGAGTATCATTAAAATCAAATTCTACACATTGAAGTTCGACTACAGGTGAACAATTTTGAGCTATTGTTATATTTTCTAACGGTATCATTGGTCTATTTATTGAACATTTTAAACATTTTTGAAAACCTTTATGATTTGATATCAATATTTCACAAGTTTGTTTAATACTCTTTACTGAATTATAACTAAATTCTAAACATTCTCCATGAATATTTGATATTAAAAAATAAAAAATAAGAAAATAAGAAATTTTATACATTATTAAAACAAAGTACGAAGCGCAATTTTTTTTTGTGTTTACGTTTCGTTTACTTTTTTTTCTTAATCTAAATTTTGTAAAAACTGTAAAGAAATTTTTGTTTTATTTATTTTATTTCAATATAAATCTTCTTTTTTTTAAAAAAAAAACTCAATTGACAAAAGCCAACAATGTCAAAGCAACAGAAATCATAATAAATCCAATTCCAACAGTAAGTGCATTATTCGGTATAGTATTGATTGTCGACATTGAAGGAGAACCTTTTGTTGATGTGCTTATTGAACTTGAACCCGATTTTCATTCAACTTTACATGGAGTTGAACTTTGACATCCTTTTACATGATTTGCACAAAAAACACTTGTACAATTAGCACAAGAAGAAAGAGGAATTGCAGGTGTTTGACATGTATGTGCTTGACCAGGAAAACAACAAGTACAAGTATAACCGTTTATTGTGGATACTCCAACAGTTAAAAAAATCAACAGAAAAAGCGTCAACATGTTTTTATTAAAATGATACAAGATAACACATCATCACTAGTCAGTTATCTCGTATGAAAAAAGAGACAAATATAGGACTATGAAAACAAAAAAAGACAAAAAAAATAAAGTCATTCATTGAGAATTAAATTCATTGCACTGATTATTATTAATCCCATAAAACAACTTAATGAGATTGTTGTTGTATTTGAATTATTACATAATTGTGAATTACAACAACACATAATTCCTTTGATATCATTATGATTAGATGATTTACATTTATTTTCAGTACATAAACCATACGGTGCAAAAGAACGAATCACTACCGAATCATGAGCTTTTGATGTTTTAAATTTCTATGGAAAAAAACAAAAACTTAACGAATAAATATGATCATAGATACATACTATACACCATGTAAATGGTGATTCCAGTACTATAGCATTCGTTTTATTGAATGGGTCAGGACATGAACTTAAACAATTATAACATTCATTTCCATCAATATTGCCTGTGATAGAAACGAGAAGATTATTTGAAAACAAAAAATTAATGACAAACCAGGAAAGTAAACTAAGAAGATCAATACAACAATCAGTAATAATCTGTCCATAAGACTCGAGAAATATGTTGAAAATGTATTTGTCTAATGGTTAGACAATTTTATTTTATATAGGTCTGTTATTACTCATGATCATTATTTGTACTTTCTCCATCTATTGATAAATTGTCTTAATTCAACTACTTAGATCATATTACTGTATTATCAGCATGTTTACATAGACAAAACGTAGAAAAACGAAAATAAAAAAAGGAAAAGAAATAGTACACCAATAATGATAAAGAAAAAACGTAAGCAAATCAATGTTTCATTCATTCTTAAGAAATACAATGGAATTGGCTTTCTTAAAAACGAGAAAATTTCCACTTGTGAATTAGTATGTTCAATAATGAAAAAGTAAATTTTATTTTTATTCTTACGACTAGAGTCCGTCGGGTCTGATCCGGGTCCAAGCGGATTCGAGGCTGTAAATTTTGAATTTATTGGGTCCGGATCTTTAAATCTTTATTGATAAGGAAAAACATCCACTATACATAATAATTTTTAATTGTTTTCTTTAATTTCTGTTCATTCTCACTAAGGGTCTCAAACGTGTGATTCATGTTCAAATCAACAAAGAATTAATCAGTTGGATTTGGATCAGAAAATTTTGATGAACCGGATCCGGGTTAGGGTGTAAAAAAAATTAATCAGACGGGTCTGGGTTCAGAAAAAAACTTAACCGATCGGACCCAAGTCTGGTGCAAAAAATCATGGACCCGATGGACTCTACGTACGATACCTGTGGAAACGAAACAAAGATTATGTCACAGTTTTTCCAGTTACAGACTTTATTGTTTGTGAAATTCACGCAAGTTTTTTTCGGAGAAAAATCATGAGTGGAACTTTTTAGTTAAAGTTTTTCGGCTCCGTCGCTAGCTCCTTGCAATCGAAGTTAACAGTCGAAGGGTAGGCTAGTTTAGCGATCAAAGACAACACACACAAGATTCCTTTTCATATTATACCTTCAGTAATGTTTAACTTGAAAAAGATTATACTATTTTTGATACATCATCAACACGAATGACTCCACAACTCTACATTGATAGTCTTACTACTGAGAACATTGTATTCTAGGCAATAAATTATCATAGAACTGTATGTTTCATAACCAAAGCTATACATATAGAAAATAGCAAGCATAAATGAACAGCTAGGTAATCGTACGTTTCGTTTCCACTCACACTGACACGACAATAAAAACGGTAGGTCTCCAGCATGGTAATACTGTTGATAAGAGTTTTGCAAGCCAAAGGACGCATTATTAACTTATGCTTTTCAATCTTCTTTGTAAAGACATTTTTACCACCATTCATTATTGTGAACATTCATTGTTGTAAGGAAGGAAGATGTCATAGTGTATTCTAAGTCTATTCAGTGATTGTTTCATATGATTACACCGTATGCTTATGACGCATTTTCTGTCTCATTATTGCTCTTCAAACACAACGGGTTTTTTCCTTTTTTTTTGTCGTTTGGATTTTTCCTTTTTCATCATGCATTTATTATTCATCATTCATAGAATTTTCTTTTCTTGGATATTTCCTTCTTGTTTGTTGCACTTTGTATAGATTGCAATTGCACAATAAAAAATTTATATTATTTGGCAAACATTCTCGACGATTATCAAAGTTACCTACTTCAGAAATTCTTATCTTTCCACATAGTGATAGGAGTTTTTGTATTGTTTATCATTTGCCACAAATTGTGGTTCCCTAAATCACTCCCTAAAGAATTTCCACATTTGGGGATACTCAACCAATTAAGGTATATTTTGGTGACCAAGTAGGGAATTTTTTTTAGGGATTTTTTTATTTAGGGATTTTTTTTATATAATGTATATAGTACCCTACTTCTGTTACGACATTATAACAACAAGAGTAAATGGTAGGTTATCATTTACCCCAAATTGGTCACCACAAATGCATTCCCAGAAAAATTCCCATTTGGGGATTTTTTTACCATCAAATATATCATACATCCTGTAGTTCGATACCATTCTTTTTCTTTTCCAAGACCACATTACCAAAAATAACACTTTCGAAGTCATATCTATTGGAAGTGCTTAGTTTGGATTAGCTAAACATAATAAAAGCAGTTCTATGATGAATCTGGTGACCAGAATATATTTTGGGCTGCTACAACGAACAATTTTGAGGTGAATCTGGTGACCAGAATATATTTTGGGTTGCTACAACGAACAATTTTGAGGTGAATCTGGTGACCAGAATCCATCGTGGATTACTACGAAGTCCTCTTTTTGGCAATCCAAAATATATTCTGGTCACCGGGTTCATCATAGAACTGCTTTTATTATGTTTAGCTAATCCAAACTAAGCACTTCCAATAGATATGACTTCGAAAGTGTTATTTTTGGTAATGTGGTCTTGGAAAAGAAAAAGAATGGTATCGAACTACAGGATGTATGATATATTTGATGGTAAAAAAATCCCCAAATGGGAATTTTTCTGGGAGTGCATTTGTGGTGACCAATTTGGGGTAAATGATAACCTACCATTTACTCTTGTTGTTATACTGTCGTAACAGAAGTAGGGTATCATATACATTATATAAAAAAAATCCCTAAATAAAAAAATCCCTAAAAAAAATTCCCTACTTGGTCACCAAAATATACCTTAATTGGTTGAGTATCCCCAAATGTGGAAATTTTTTAGGGAGTGATTTAGGGAACCACAATTTGTGGCAAATGATAACCTACCGAGTTTTTGAATAGATTTGTTTTTCTTTTAGCAAAATAAATGTGTAAAAAAAAAAACTACTTGATGAAATCTTCTCATTATCTTATCATGTGAATTAAAATAATAGATGATGTACACAATCCATACAGATATTAGAATAAATAATACATGAAACATTTCATTTCATGAACAACGATATTTTTAATATTAAACCATACTCATTCAATACATGTATTTGTTAAAACTTGTACATTTCGATACAGAATGATCCATGTATGTGTTTAGAAGATTGTTCTGATTGGGAAAGAAGCATTTATTGCAGTTTATATCACCGAAATAATCAGAACTGTTGTTTTGATATTATTCAGAAGGGAGAAGAAATCAGGAAGAAAACATCTAAAAACCAAAGAAAGTTTTCTTTGAAAGGAAAAGGCCGATTCTCTTTGAAAACTGTAGTAAAAGCAATTTCTTTATTAAATACAAGTGATTTTCCATGAAATCGTCAAATAAAGCTTTCTCATTTCGAGAAGATATTTTTCTCTTTGAAAAATTAGGAAAAAAGCTGTCAGTTTTGCACATTTTTCTTACATTTACGCTATCAAAAGTCAAGAAATTCGCTAAACAATAGTTGACGAAAATTTTCTGAGAGAATGGTTAAGTGCAAGTAAAAATTTCGAAGGGAAAAATTCTTTTCTCCTCCTTCGAATTGTATGTCCTGAAAATAATGATTAGTTTAACATTAATCTTAGACAATGAATATTCCTTCGATCTTTATGAAGATTAATTAAAAAAGAATAATGATAATAAACATACACAAGAAGAATTCTGTTTAGTTTGTAAAAAAAGGAATAAATATTTGTCGACATACGACTGCCATAAAAATCAGAACCAATCGGAATGCATTTCTTTATACTCAGAATAGAATGTTTTTGTTGTTATTATTGTGAATTAATGTATGTTGGAAAGTTTTTGTAATCAACAACATTAGTCATTTGCTTAGAGTGTATTCAATTTCGTTAGAAAAATTATTTTGCCGATTTATAAACATGAAAATATGGGGAAAAAAACATGAAAATATGGGAAAAAAAACATGAAAATATGGGGAAAGAAACATGAAAATATGGGGAAAAAACTATCAAAATATCTGTTTACGAGTGTGTGTCGGAAGTATGCGTAAGTGATACTTGGTAAAAGTTGGTAAAAAAGTCGGTTTTTTG